TTGAGTTGCACATAGACGGTCATATAGGCGGTTACGAACTATCTGGCGCTTAAGATTACTCAGTGGTATTTCAACTACGCTTACCGAATTCTCTAAACCCGCCCTTCTTAAGCAGCGTTTTATAGCTGTACTTATATCATTTGGGATGAAAAATAGGATAAACGGGACCCTTCTATCGCTAGAGTTGTTGTTTGGAGGCCTAGGATTCCCCCTGCACCTATCCTGAGCTACAGTTTCGTAGCCATTAGAAATGGCTATTTGCCCTGCCAAGTTCCGGGACTCCTCTCTCTGCCTCTCTTCCCGTGCACACGTTGGTTGCTGTTCGAAACATGTTCCTTATAAGTGCCCTTTTCGTGTGAGAGGGGTGAGAGGAGAGGTAATGAACCAAGGTGTTTTTACTACTGGAAAGCTTCTACATTACTACTGGAAGCTTCCATGTGAGTTCTGTGCGGTCGGTCTTCACACGACATACTCCAGTGGAAGACTCATAGAAAGCGGTGAGTGTGCAGAGCTATGTTAAATGTGATTGAAATTTTGGTTTGGAGTTTCTTTGTTTTGTTATGGAGGCGTCTGGCTGAGTAGATTGCTATCAACTTGACCTTTCCAGGCTTTGAGGAAGGCTAAATCCGCCGAAACATCAGTTTTTTTTTTGAATAAAGAATAATAACACCTCGCGTTTGCTCAACAAAAATACGAAGAAGTCCCGTTAGAGTTTGAAAAGCAGAGCGCATTTCTGTCAAGAAAGGAAACTTCTAGAACCTTCACTCCAGGAGTTTTTTGTTGCGAATGGTATCTCAGAAGGTTTCGAATAACAGAAAAAGGACTGCCAATCATAGAGAATAGCATGTATGTAGGAGACTAATGAATTACAGCATAGATGGAAAGCGAAGACATTTTTCGCAACGACGTCATAACAACATTCTAGAAATCGATGTAACAGTCATGTATGAAATTTTGCAGAAGTGATGGCAAACGCTGAATTATTCATGGAAAAGTAGGCTGTTAAAGTGTTTCTGTTGATATTCGGTCCCCTGCGCTAAAGTAACCGAGAACTCTGTGCTCTTTTAGCTCTACAAAGAGTGTAAGTAACTACATAAAAGCTTCTTGTGCAGAGTCGTCCAACACATTCGCTATGGTAAAACCATAAACTGAAACCGAAAACTAGTTTCAGAAGAAGGTGAACTCTGTAGTCGTTCCATCGATAAACTCACATGCGAAAGTAAGTGGGTGCGTCTTAGCAATCGTGGTAGGACCCGCATTCCATGGTAGCCATCGGTTTGTTTGAAAAAGCTTGATTCATTCGCTTTGTTTTCAGCTGCTGAACAGTCAATTTATCAAAACATCCTCCTGACTCTGTCTGGCAGCATTGTTTGCTCAAATAAAGTGAAAACAAACCCAAGCGGCAAAGTTAAATTCCTCTTCATGAGAACTTTCCAACTAAGGGATAGACAAATGTCACGACTGTTCCAGCATATTCTGCTTTTAAACGATAACTGGTAACATTGCACAGCGTCTGAATCATAGTAACAAAAAACAAAAACTAAAACACTTGAAGAAATGGTCCTACATGACTAACATGATCGACTCTATCAAGAAAAGAAATGCATTTGGCCATTAGTACTGATTAGGTGACTGTTCCTTAAAAAAGCCATTTCTCCCAGTTGAAGGAGCCATATAGATAGATACTGTCCCCGCCCGACGTCCATACATCTCATCTCCCATGATGTATCCATCTTCTTGCGTAATGGGGTGGGTCATGGCACGAATGTTCACGTTTAGGGCATGGCAGTTAGTCTGTTTACTGTTTACGAAAAACCTGCACCGCCGAAATAGTCGATTAATCATTGTTGTTTCGACCATAGCCGTGTTGTTCATCTATTATTTATGTAACCTTCTTAACCTCTCGTTTTAGAATCGTATGATATCGATTTCGAAATTGTTCTAGATTTTTTCGAACTATAGATTTAATCTCGATAATTATTATGTATTCGCTTAATTGGCATTGATTTGAAGGCTATCTCTTATAGTCTTTGGACACCGGTTATAGTGAATGATATCGTCATGGTGTGTGATCAAACCTGTCCTCTTCTTTTACGTTTGCAAGTTTTCACCCTTCTCTTAGATCTTGGCGACCTTTACCCGATTTCCATGTGGGAAAGTTGACTGCCAAAGAAGAAGAACTAGTAATGTTCTTCTGTTCTTTGCTCTTGTTAGTCTATGCTTTTTGCCCATCGTGTAAATTCGTACTGAATTCACATACCTAGTTTGGTTTTGCTGGTTCAAAGTGTGTTGTACTGTCCATGTAGGGAAAGCGATTAGTCCTGACGTGTACTTTTTACGTTCATTGAACTTTGATGATTAGAATTTAGTTGTCGAATTCTGCTTGAGATCTGGAACAAGTTTCATAGGAGCGTTTCTGGGTATGCTAGGGTTTTCCAGCGACGATTACAAATTGATTTGGGTGAATGTTCGAGATTGTCGTTCCAGAATCGTATGTTTTTCACATCGTCAGCTTTCTCTGGATGAGTGCTAGCCATTGTTCGGATATCACCAAAAATCCTTCTGAATCGGAGCCACAGGTTCACGTAGTAGTAACAAAGAAAGGAAGGAATGACGACGAGAAATTATCGCAGAGAGGCATCCTCAGCCTGAAAATACCTTGAAAACTACAAGAAACTTCATCGAAAGTATGTTTAATTTGAGGATTGCTAACGTTTTTGTTGTCACTGAACACCTTATGCACTCTGGATCTTCTGGATTTGTGACTGTGGATGCAGCAGGTAGAATGGTAAACAAATAACTCTTTGCTTGATCGACGCGAGTTCTTTCCCGGTGTTTTTTGTTCTAGCCGCCATGTATGTGGTCTGTTCATTCAGATAACATCACCGATCTTTTTCAAGGAAAAAAGCCCTCATACTACTGCACAACAATTTTTTATGTGAATGACCGTGGCGGTAATATGGTGCCCATTATTCAGGGTTCCATAGCTAATCGATCTATAAAAGTGATGGATCTGCTAAAATAGTTAAAATAGAGCAGAACTTTTTTCTGCTAGGCCTTTTTTCAAGAATATGTATTCTTATAGTCCATATGAAAAATTGATTGACTCCTTTGTGCTGTAACTTACTTGGATGCTTGGGCGGCCCGTGTTCACTGGTTGTGCGGGCCCCAGCATAATTCCCATTTTTTTTGGGGTTTTACTGGTTTAGCCATTGTGGTCTCTGGAGTCCCAAGGTTAACCGGGCCAAAGTCTGCCTCACGGTGTTGTAACACAACTCTAAACAACTTCAACTGTAAACATAACGAGCATTATTAGTTGTAGTAAAGCTTGTAGTCTCTCAAGTTCGTTTCTTATAGGTCTTTTCTTCAGAAATGTGTTTAGAAGAAGAACTTATGGTGAAGTGCTGGTTCGTTGAAGATAAGAAGCATACTAGTTCGTTCTTTATTTGTCCAGAAACGGTTCAACAAATGGGACTTTGCTCATTGGAACCGGGTGATATCATTGAATGCGTCAATGATGATGGCTGCTGGCGCGTTTCTCTTCAAGTGTTTAGAAAAATACGAGTTAGTATTTTGATCTTTTTTTCGGAAACATGGATCTCCAACAAGTTCTAAATGCAAAGAACATCTCAGGGATGCTGTATAAAAGCTCTAAAGCTCAAGGCGTTGGTCAATCCCAGAGGGATGCGCCATGCATTTGATTTCACTAAGCATCGTTTCGAGGTGATTGATTGGATATCTGGGCTATACGATGAATCGCAGTGGACCACCGATGTATCGCCCAGTGCTGCTATCCTCCCAGACAAGGCTGGTACCAATTTGGCGACCCCGGATGGATGGAAGGCTTGGTAGGCTATGGGCGCGAGGACCGATTCCACGTGTGTGTTACAGGGCGGCTCCGACCGCTCCACTACACGCGACCTAGTGATTCTGTATAAACCGTTATAATAGTGGGAAGCATGTTCTATAAGCGTGTTAAATTATCCATTTCTCAAGTACTTCATTAATTGAGGAATTCTAGGCAGTTATCGAAAAATCAGCGGAAAACGCGAATGTCTTAACGGAGCGTAAACTTTCCATTCAGACAGGATCCATTAGTCAGTAGTAGTGCACTTGCGATTGAGTTTGTAGAGAGAACAAGCTCTTCTTGTTACTGGTTGTCGCTTTTCCTACTAATGTTGTCTACGATCTTCCCACACTATTAAAGTTTTGTCCTATTTCGTGGTGTGGTGTAGTGGTAGCGTATTGGTTTTAGAATACGTTACCCTCGCTGTTTATTCGTGGGATTCTGCTTCAGTGTAATGAATTCTCATAAAAGAAACATTAATGGTCCCGTTTTCTCCCAACCTCTGTTTCGTCGTTGTGGAGGTTGTCTGGTGATATTGCGGCAGTTCGTTTCTATTAGATATCAGGCTTATTCGTTGGAAACCACTGTGTTCAGTTCCCCAAGTATGTACCAGTTGCTTCATTGTAGTTTCGGAAGAATGCTGTAGGAGCTACAATCGGAATGAGGGACGCAAAACACGGATTACTTATGTGGGCAATGTACAATCTACTACATCATGAAAAGGAACATGTTTCGTGAACCTACCTGTGCCACAGGACATTTAGTCCCTGTTCGCCATCTGAAGATATGCGAAATAGGCAGTCCACTTTGTTGATGTGTGTAATGTGTAGCGGACAAGTCTGTAGGCTATGATAGAGCCAAATTAAATTACTCCATTACGTCTTAATATATGGGATCATTAGAGTTGCCTAAAGTGTACTGTTTTTCCTTTTTTTTACGTGAAATCCGTTGACATTGTCTTCTTCTTATCTTCAGTGATATTTTTTCTTTGCTTCTGTTTTACATGAACTCTTAAACTCCACTACTTAGCTTATTTATGTTTAGGAAATTTATCTCGTTTATTGCTTCGTTCATTTCTAGTTTTTGAAAGGTAACCTTGAATCCTTCCTTCCTTCCTTCAGTTGGAATTGAGAAAAGTTTTCATGTATCCAGTATGATGAGGGATACTGCGGTTTGGATGCTTTCACAGTGCAGGTGAGGTTTTCACTGTACTCAGTGCTTGGAGTTGTTTGAACCCATTCAGAAGAAAGTTTTAGTTGCTTATATGAACTTCAGACGTCTTACATATTAGTGTTGCCCTAGGTGGATCTATCTCCTGTTAATCAGTTTCGTTTTTACTCCTTTGTTTAGTTAAGGTTGTCTTAAATGGCTATTATAAATCACTCATTTGGTCTTCTACGTCGATCTTCTTCAGTCATCTAATTGAAAGATTCACCGACGTCCGATGGGAATCCTAATCACAGAGCAGCCAGGATCGTACGGAAGCGGATGGTCGTATCTGCTGAAAGTCTGGGAATCCCCGATCTCGGTTACCCTATGATTCCAAGCAAGACCACGTTTGACTGGCATCTTGAATTTCACTGAGGTGACGTGGTATCCTTAAGATACAGTAAAACCTATGTAAGAAGATTTTTTCAAACGGTAGTTATGAAGGAAAGAAATGAATGAACTGTTAAGCGCTGGTAGCCATTCCACTAAAGGGGTAAGCCAATCAAACTACTATGATATATCACTAAATTTATAGTTTCAAGTGTTTCTTTTTGTTTTCTTTTGTAACAGTGATGAACCAGTCTGATTTTTGTTTTCGATGAGCACCTATTGCGAAAAACTAGACGGACGGAAGGCATTATGAGAAGAAAGCGATGCTAAGTGGTGTTACTAAATGTTACTAAATCAAAAAAAAAAAATTGAGCGTAGATTATTGCTACGTTCTAGTAAACGGGTTTCATTTCAGAGGTTTTGTGGATCTCATTGACCATACCGTTGCTGGTAAGCTTAGTTCATTCCCATCATACTTCCATATCGCAGCCGCTGGTGTCGCAACCATGGGACTTGGTTACTATCTCACGAAGAATAACGAGGGAAAAATAGTTCCTTTGGTAGATCCGCTGAATCAGACTATTGAAGAAGAGGTCAGTTGTAGCCTGTCATATCACGCCTCTTAAGTTTTCGTTGTGGTTTAACTCGTTTTTTCTAAATTATTTTCCTCGACTAGTGTTACGTGCTATTCGGCTGTGGCTAACATTCTGTAATGCACGTAAATCTCCCAGCAGGAAGCCCAGCTAAGAGCAAACTAATACCAGGGTCCACCACACCACCGTCCTGTTATCAAACTAGTCGCATGGTGGAAAGTCTCCCTCTGATCCGCAAGGTCGGCGACTGCCTGTGGTGGTGACGACCTGGGACCGACATTGGCTAGGCTGACATAGGGACTTCAGCGAACCACAGTGGCTAAACCAGTAAAACTCTGAAGACGGCGCCGTTCAAGTACCCAAGTGCCCATTACACGTATGACGGTACTGTTGAAGGTACCAGTTGGTTTTTCAAGGAAACGTTCACTTGAGAACGCACTAGCTTTCGGGTTAGGCGACGGTCTTAATATCAAAGAAACACACTGCTTGTAGTTCTGTTGTTTTGAGTCAACTATGAGTTGTTTTATTTTTAAGGACGGATCGCGTGTCAGTGCATATCTCAAGGATCACAAACTCCAGTCATATGTTTACGATGATGTGCGCACACTATATGAGGGAGTTCGACGAGGTGCACGTGTTTCCAATAATGGCCCAATGCTCGGTCATCGAGTCAAGTGTGCTGATGGTAGTGAACCTTATCAGTGGTTTACTTATAACGAGGTATGGAGTACTATTGAATTCTCTTTGTTGTTTTCAGAAAATTCGGTTTTGCTCCTACTTTTCAACTTCTTACACTGTTTGTCATCCTCACGTAAAAAAGTAGTAGTGTTCTATTGCCCATAAAGTATCTGTTTCACTGAATTCGGATCATTTGGTTCGGAGATAACACTGTGTCGATTGTAGCTGAAGTACCAATTATGGATCCAACATGAAATTGAACGACTTGGTTTTGAATTTTGTATACGCTTTAACCAATTTTCTTACAACAGAGTTTCATGCAATTTAATCTATCGAATAATTAAGCTTCAATAAAGTTATAACGAGGTGGTAAAGGTTTAGGCTTAATGCACTTACTAGAGGAATATTCAATTCCATGGGAGCAACTTAACTTTTCTTTAGATCATCGAGCGCGCTAACAATGTCTCTATGGCTTTTCGTGAATTAGGTGTTCCTGTCGGAAATGATGTCAACATTGGCATCTACTCTAAGAACCGCCCTGAGGTTTGTTATGCTGGTAGTTTGAAACAGATGTGTTCTCTTGCGTTGGATGATGGTGCTACATATTGTGAAGATCAGATATTTTTGTATGCTTTAGTAATAAGTGAGATGTACTAGTGAACATACGCTTACGTGTAGCGCAGTGGTCAGAGGCACGATGCAACACTTGTGAGATCGATCTCCGTGCCCCTGGTCTGGCAAACCCTCTATCCCTCCGGGGTAGGCAAATTGGTACCAGACTTGTCTGGGAGGACAACAGCACTGGCTCGATACATCGGTAGGCCACCGCGAGTCATTGTAAGGGCCAGATATGCATTCATTCACCTCCAACGATACTTAATGAAGTCGAATATATGGCGCATCCCGCGGGGATTGATCAACACAGAGAGCTTTGTCCTTTATTTTCTACCAGTGAATATAACAGCATGAATCAGATCTAGAACATCTTAGATGTCTGTAAGTATCCCGTGGTGTCTGAAGGCATTCAGATTTTTGTAAGAACAAGTTGAACTGCTTTTCTTCTTTACAGTGGATCATCACAGAATTGGCAGCATATAACTTCTCAAACGTCATTGTTCCTATATATGAGACACTTGGCTTTGCAGCTTGTGTTTTCATTCTTAACCAGACCGAAATGCAAATGGTTGTGTGCGACTCCGTTGAGAAGGCTATGGGTAAGAGGTTTGGTTTGTGCCAGCAACGTATTAAGAGACATGTGATACCTTATTTAGGTCTCGTTGAACAAAAGGCTAACTGTCCTCATCTAAGAACAGTGATTGTGATGGAACCAATTACGGATGAGTTGAGTGCTTTGTCTAAAGATTATAGTGTACAGGTTCTCACAATGGATGAAGTGGAAAATATTGGTCGTCAATCGAACACAACTCTACCTCATCAGCCTCCCAAGGTGGTTCATCAACGATATTATCACTATGTTTCAATTAATCTCTTCTTCCTTATTAAACTACCATCGGGACAGGTTACTTTTAGCCTGAAGATTTGTCAACAATCTGCTATACATCCGGTACAACTGGAACTCCAAAAGGTGTCATGCTTACTCATGCAAATGTTATAGCCGATGGTGTCAGTATGGAGTTTTTCAAATATACCGGAATTGATGTGACGGTTAGTGTCGTTTCCAAAGAAGACAACTGCAGTAGGGTTGCTAACACTAAGGAGTTAGCATTACAGAATGCTACTGCTATTCAGATTCTATGAAGTATGACATTTTCTCATCATAATTTATTTTGACTCGTTCATCGTTTCAAGGATGTCATGATCAGCTTCCTCCCTTTGGCTCATATGTTTGAGCGTCTTATTGAAAGTGCATGTTTTACGAAAGGTGCTCGAGTAGGATTTTATAGGTACAACATACCTTTACATCATCTCTCATTGATGTTTGTATGCTTTTATTTATGCTTGCTCCACTTCAGGGGTGATATTCGTCTACTGGCGGAGGATATCAAGGAGCTACAACCGACAGTGATGCCAGTTGTTCCACGGGTCCTTAACAGATTATATGATAAGGTGTATAGCTGTTATTTGTTCATATTGTCAGCAGAGTTATTCGATAAACTTCTTCCATGGCGTATGTTTAGGTGATGACGGAAGTGAACACATCGTTTGTAAAGAAAATGCTCTTCAACTTTGCCATCAGATGCAAAAAACGTGAAATGGAAAAGTAAGTGCAGACATTTGTAGTCGTATTCTAAATCCTGCAAACTTGTCCGTTTTAGCTTCATAATTCGAAACACTGGTTTTTTCGACAAACTAGTTTTTAAGAAAATTCGTGAAGGAATGGGAGGTATAGTGCTTTGTTTTCTTCTTTTTCTTTTAATGCTTTATTCAGAATTGTGAATACATTTCTACATTTCTTAAAGACTAAGTTAAACTCTACTAAGATATATTGTACACAACCGTAATGATGCTATGATATTTGCAAAACTCCGGAGCACAAGTGTCTGCAGTATGGGAACAAAAGCGCTATTATCCTTTCAGGGGCCAACGAGTTCATCAACACACCATGCGAGTCCTTTGTTTCGCCTGTCTCTCACCTAGTTTTCTATCTATAGGTCCGGTGTTTTTTAAAAATCTCAGGATCATTATGGTTGTGTTTCACATAGTACCCTGCTATGAGAATATGTAACCGACAGCGAATAAAAAGTCAACATTATGTTGTGTATACTTTAGGCCGTGTCAGATTAATGATAACTGGATCTGCTCCACTTTCTGAAAATGTGCTTACATTTGTACGAGCGGCTATGGGATGTGTTGTTGTTGAGGGTTATGGTCAGACAGAATGTGTTGCAGCATGTACTGTATGTTGTCTTTTTAGAAGTTTAGTTTAATGTAAAAGCATTAGTTGAGGTAATTTTCACAGGTATCCATGGAAGGGGACTCGAATGCGGGTCACGTTGGGATGCCAATTCCGTCGGCTAGTATAAAATTAGTCGATGTCCCTGAATTGGGTTACTTTTCAAAGGATGGGGCTGGTGAGGTCAGAATTTGACGATTTTCAGCAAAAATGCGCAGGAAAATTTTACAGTGTCCAGTGAATTTTCCATTTCTAAGTCTTTAGGTCTGCGTAAAAGGCCCAATTGTTTTCCATGGATATTATAAGAACGAGGAACTGACAAAAGAAGTACTTGATGAAGATGGCTGGCTTCATACTGGTGACATTGGCCGGTGGACAAATGAAGGTTCACTAAAGATCGTTGATCGAAAGAAGCATATTTTCAAACTAGCACAGGTATATGTTCTCACTTTAGTTCCTTGATCGGTTTCTGTCACATAACAGTTCAAAATTTAACGGTTGCAAAACTCTCAAGGGTGAATATGTTGCTCCGGAGAAGATTGAGAACGTCTACGTGCGTTCACGTTTTGTAGCTCAATCATTTGTGCATGGAGAGTCCTTGAAGAGTTGTCTAGTCGGCATCGTAGTACCTGACCCTGAGGTATGTGGTTATCGACATTTCTTTGAAATTTTCAAAATAGTGTAATGTTCTAGGAGTTAATTCCTGCATGCCAAAAGCAACTCAACTTGAGTGGAACCTTAGAGGAATTATGTGCAAACAAGAAAGTTGTAAAAATGGTTTTCGATGATATAATTGCTGTTGGAAAGAAAGCTGGACTTTTTTCATTTGAACAGGTTTGTTCAAATAAAGCAATTTACATTTCTTACCAGCTTGTTTCATCGTAGTTTTTGCCGTCTAGGTGAAGGATGTAGTTCTTTCTCCGAACATGTTCACCGTTGAGAATGATCTTCTTACTCCCACGCTGAAAAGCAAAAGGCCGATGTTGAAGTCCTATTTCGCTAACGAAATTGCGTCGATGTATTCGGCACTGAACTGAAGGTTTACTTTGCATTGATAGTTTCCATAATAACAGTGTTTCAGTTGTTTCCTTAATGTGACCATGCAGCACTTTTCTTGTCAGGTGTTATTGCATTTTACTAGTTTCTGGTTCACTAGGAGCACTTGTCAAGGAGATGTACCCTACTCTATCCTCCACTCTCTACTTCTCATAATTGTCAAAAGTTCTACTTCTAGCTTCTTCTTCTTCTAGCCACTGTGTTCATATCATATGTATATCAGAAACGTTCTTTCATCGAAAAGGCGATGCGAGTCCATGAAGCGTACCTCAAAGAAATCTTTAAAAACGGCAAGCCCTTCCGAGCCGTTTAGTTTTTGTTTGAAGTGACACTTGTTGTTTCTTCATCTTATAGTGTGATAGTTCTATGAGAGATTCATAATATTTAGAGAGCTGCGATATTTGCTTGTGTGGATTGCTCACACAATTATTAGGTAGTGTTTCAGCAGCTTAACATTCTATTTATGTCGTCACTTTTTAGTGTACCCATTCGGTTTTCGACACTACCTGATGTAGAGCTCTTTGTGATGTACGATAAGGGTATATGTGACCAATGTGGGCGACCCCTTTATGTTAAGATGTCATATATGGTGTTACTCGTACTTGTTCTTGTAAAGGTTGTGCGGATTGTTTTTTGTGTTTTCAAGATTCTTCAGTGATATGTGATCGCGTATAATCTCAATTACTCACTATATACTACTATTTATAGAGTGTTAACTCCGGTGATCTGCATTTCTAGTTTTTGCCTTGAGTTACAATAGCATTTCACTATGTACTTTGAGAATTGCTTTCGTCCATATTGACCTTCCTGATTGGCGCGAGCTAGTATCACTCACTATCTACTTCTCTTCTAAATTTTGTTCTTCTTTGCTTTTTTGGGTAGTTTTTTTAACTGTTATGGTCTTATTGGAAATAAAAGATATTAAACTCTATTATCTGTAATCTTTTCGCATCCCCATCAATTTCTATTGTCATGAAATAGGTTTGGATTGGTCGATGAAATGGAATCGTTTTTCAGCTTTACTGAGGTTTTGCTAGTTCTGCTTCCCACTTCCGTTACTAGATAATTTAACAGATTTAGTAAATATTGTAGCACTAATTAGATGGACAGAGTATCATCTCGCCAGAACGACCAAATCTTTCGCGTGGTACTCCGGGAAACCTGTTCGCTTCTTCGCCAGAGAATATTCCCTCCAAGTTGATAGTGCCTAGAAAAGAAATGTGCCCTGGCGATTTAATACAGGTGAGTTTCATAACTAGTAACTTTTAGGCAAGATATGGTATACCTAAGTCGAAAGTCCTCATTACCGAAATTCCTTGATTCCAATACGATGGCGGTAGATCGATACTTATCTGACGCTGACCCTACAGAGAAAACACTTCTTTTCAGTGACACTGGAAAAGTGATGTGTCGAATTGAACAAAGATTGTCAAAAATATGGGAAAACTCTTTCTGTTTGCCCTTTTTTAGTTAGTCTAAATGAGACCTCTAGAATGACGTAATAGGAGGCGGATAGCACGGTGGTGATGCCGATTATCACGAGCATGGTGCTGGTTCGATCACCTCCGGGCTCACCAAGCCTGTCATCCTAACAGGCTTAAGGTTGCTGCCGGACTTGTCCGGGAGAAGATCACTCTCTGCAATCTAAGTGGGAAAGTTATAGCCCAACTATCTCTATATTTTGGGAAGAATCGACTTGACCAGCGTTCAACGATATTTAAGATGAAGGGGAAGTCCGCAAGCAGCAGCCTAAGTCATGCGAAGAAAGTTGGAAGACCTTCGTAGCAAGTAGTGCTGGGATCTGTACAGTAAATGTAAAAGACGGATCTAATAAAGTAGAAACAAAATGACGTAATTAATGAGGGAGAACACTCACATAGCAATTATGATTGATAGTTAGCATAATGTCCCCGTTTGAGAAGCCATTCCATCCTCCAATTCCACCACCACCACCACCACCAACACCGTGGAGCTCGGCTTTAGTGCGGAAGTATCCGGTCATATCGGTCATTGTTTCCTCGTAAATGTATGGTTGTCCACCTTCAAGAAACATAGTAGAAAAGTATAGAAACCAAGGTGAACAGTGATGTCAAGAGAATGTTGAAATTACCTCATTAGACGTCTCACCTCTATTCTCCCATAATATGATACGGGCTGCTTGACTGTGAATACCACAGAGCAGACGACCTCTTACATAGTAGCTGCGCTCGCCGCCATAAGAGAATGAGCTATAGATCTACATTTGATGATTACGAAATGCACACTTGTTCTCATTTTTCCACAAACTCGTTTTATGAGTGAAAAATCCTTGACCACTTCTAAATAACGAGTTATGCTTCGCATCTAATATATCTTCGTTTGCAGATCGGTCAATAAAAACTTAATATATGAAATGACTTCTAATGCCGAGAAGGATTGCAGGATAGTGGTAGCGTAAATGAAATTGCTGTTGCTTTAGAGCTCACGGCATCCATTAAAATGGGTGTCATAGTCTTGATGATTAATATATCGCGACAACACGTATTAATACCAATGCGTAGATTTGCGGAAATGATTCGGCATTTCAGTTTCAATTAAAAGGATTTGGAATCATCATGAACTAGATTGATTAACAATATTTTAAAAACCGACCCTCTTCAACCTCGACATGACTGCTCAGAATGTATTCTTTCATTGCTAAGCCAACACGAGCTTGATAAGAAACTTTATCCGGCTAAGGTTTCGGCGCCTTTGCCCTCTTCAGAGCCGAATTGATACGGTCGATTATCCGCAGCTGTTTCATCTTCCGATGTGGGTCTTCGTGATCGCATCGAATCGAGCCCGGCGGAGCACCGCTCGCGCTTTTGAAATAATGTTACGCTGTGTGCTAACTGATAATGATATCGCCTGCTTCAAGATGGATTTCCCATAGAATAACAAGTTATTACCAACGAACGGTTACTATCAGCAATAACCATCGTATATAAAAGAGCACTGCCGAGTGAGGTTCTCCATTCAAGCGGTGTTCCACTGGTTTCTCAATGAGATCACGAAAACCCAAATCGTAATAAAGAACAATTGTGGACAACCGACTCGGATCAATCCGGGTGTGAAAAAGAAAAGACGCCGAAACCTTAGTCGAATAGTGCTTTTTATTAACGAGTTGGCTTACAAATGAAAGAATTCATATGTTAACTAAAACAAGAACCATTGAAATCCATGCGCCCTCTGTCAAGAAGGTGGAGCTTTTCTTATCCTAGTTAGTGAAATTTTTGTTTTTTAGGGGACATATAAAATTCTTTCCTTCGGTTTTTATCGTCGAGGCTTTTGCTTCAACGCTTCGACCTTAAGGTCTGAGACCGGTTTTTCACAAACCGCCGAAAATTTTCCGGCAAATAGAATCTTTACGAAGTTGTAAACGTTATCGATTTATACTACAAACACTACTGTATCTCTTTGATTGGGAAGTGTTGTTCGACCTTAAACGTTGTTTCAAATGTAAAAATGTGAACGAAGTTCAGGTTTTTAAAAACCTAGCGACGTCCCGATGGCAATAAACACGAACAGTTCATCTGAGAACATCATCGAGTTCTAATTGCCGAAATACCGAATTGTTATCACGCGTGACCTGACGCCATACCTCAGGCTGATCCAATGACTTGACACAGGCACAGTCATCGCCCATGTATTACTGTGTGGATGCTATCCACCAACTAACTTAAATACTTACAACAAATAAACGGTGGGTGTTTAAATGAAGCTGTTTCCTATGCGAATGCAAATTTATTTGTTAAGTTTTATCTGCTACGGTTATGAAAGTGTTTGGCTGAGTAGATCACAGCTCAGTTCGACTTTTCCAGGCACCGAAGAAGGCGAAAGCGCCGAAACGTCAGCTATTGTATCCTAATAAATTCTATAATAACAACCTCGTGTCTGTTTACTGAAGAAAAACATCGAAATACCGAGACTAAAGTTCGATTCCTGGGTTCCGTAGAATAGCATTTCATCTTGTTAGGATCAGGATTTCATCATGTTTGTTACTGGTTACTTGTTATTTCGCATCATCTGAGTGGAAATCAATTCACGATGAACCTCAAGTTAATTGGGCTTAATGTAATCGACTAATCGACTACAGTGTAAATTACTGTTTTCCTACTCCCAACATTCGTACAAGATTTTAAAAAACACGTATGGCATTAATATTTTGTCATAAAACTACAGGAATAAAACAACTTGCCCTCGATTACCATAGAAACCAGCGTCAACAAATCCTCCGTATCCTCGATTTCTTATGCCATCTAAAAGAATATAGCGTTTTCTTCCTATGTAAAACTATTTTATATTTCTACTCTCCATGATAGACATTACTATTTCGGCTGTTATTGTTATTTTACTATTATTAACTCACGCGTAGCGTAGTGGTAGTAATCGCGATTATCATGAGTACAGGTCTGTTTTGACGCCACACTGGGCTCGCCAAACCTGTTATCCTTCCAGGATTAAGAAATTGGCACCAGACTTTTCTGGTAAAAAGTCTGCTTTTTGCAATCCCAGTGAGATCGCTCTAGCTCTGCTATCTCGGAGTTCAGAGAGAGTCGACTCGACCAGTATTCAGAATCGTTCATTATGAGAAGATAATCTATTGTGAATCATGAATATGAGGTAAGCGAATCGAATGCGAGAAGTGCTGGAGTCTCACACAGTAGATGTGAAAGATGGGCCATTTAAAAGAAAGTTATTATTAGTATTATTATTATTATTATTATTATTATTATTATTATTATTGTTATTATTATTATTATTATAATTGCTGGTCAATCTCATTGACGAGTGATTTCTGATGGCACTGGCAGTTAGAAAAGTAGCTGAGATAAAGGCGAAACGAAGGGCCCGCATGGTGTGGTGGTGAATGCGTTAGCCCACGAAAAGGGTAATAGTGCTTTTGTTCCTTCACCGCAGACACTTGCGGTCCGGAGTTTTGCACATATCTCAGCATCATTGTGGGTGTATCACACATAATATCCTACCGTGGAAAATTATAATAGGCACTAAATAAAGAAGTTAACATTATTATTATTACTATTGTTATTATTATTATTATTATTATCATTATTATTATTATTATTACTGTTATGAGCATTACTCCCTGTGCCTTTTTGGCGAGGGTGCAATAAAGTGCATTTTTTTTTCGAGAATGCTGCAAATACGGAAAATCAACGCACATCCTTGACCAAAGCCTATGAATTGCCCATGAACCGTCGGCAGAATGAGAAATACGCTTATTAGTGGATTCATTTGATGCACTGGACAAGGACGGTCATGAGGATAGCAGTTATGAAAATCACGCTCCTCTTTCTTATTTATACAGGATATCCGTGATGTACGGAGCGATTGAATTTAGGTCGCCAGAGGTGATAACATTAAGTTTCTCCTATCCTTTGATTTCATGTGCTGATATGAAAGAGTCAGGTTTCGAGAAGAACGGAATTGCACTACTGACGCAGGGTCGAGTACTGAGTGAGAGGATATTAATCTATGGAATGTATGTCTACAGTGAAGGATCACTGTAAGCCGGTAGCATTATTTATTGTGTTATTAAAATAAATTTTTAAATGATGACCAATGCATCCAACACTAAGCGATCGTCATAACGTAAACATCAGCAGCGTTTCGTTTTATCCTAACTCGAGAAGTAGGTTTAGTAGGATAAGTTGGACATTCGCAAGAAGTAGAGGACCACATAGGAGACGACTAACGAGAGTTGTTCCTTGATTATGTGATGACTGTAATTTCAGTGCACATGAAACTATCACTATGAATCCAACGTATTCAAGGCGACCTCCTGAAGTGGACACATTTCAGAGCGAACTTATCGCCGGGCAGCTCACTTCTAACATCTTAAAATAAGTCAGTAGTCCAGAAACGGCACCTCATACACGGTTTGTCTCAACGATGGCATCTTCAGAAGTCCCATAGTGGTCTTCTAGAGACAAGTGAAGTCCTTCTATAAAAAAATCAGCAGTTAAAGCACATCACGCTCATGTCTCGTTCACCTCCCGGCTGCCACAACCGGACACAACTGTGCGGCCATCGATCGATTCCGGCATAGGCTGCAGTGTTCTTAGCTGAGTGTCCTGGAGGACAGCGCTTTTCTTTCTTCACTTACTTGTTTCCTATACGCATGTTTTCTGATTTTCCATTCATCCACTCTCCTAATCCAGCATTTTTTTTGCTTTCTTGATAAGCAGACCCGACGTTGTTAAAATGTCTAAACGAACATGAAACAGTAGCAAATAAATTGTATCCAATGATGAACCGCAAGGAGGAATACGTTGTAACCAAAACGACCTCGACCCATGACTCGGCTGGGTTTTTTAACCTAAGAGGGGCACACTCCTCACATATGTGGTCTCTGTGCTGTTGAACTCCATCAGTAAGCGGGGGACTTATAAAGAACAAAATGGTAAGTTCATTCGAGCTGTGCTCCACTCACGAAGATTCGACCAGATACGAAGACAAAGGCACTACATCGAGAAGACGAGCGGCTGTGGACCATAGAGTAGGATCACCGGCTCTGAAAGATGAAGACGTCAAAACGTTACCGGGATAAATTGTGTTATCTGAACAGCCCACAGAAAAACGGTGAGTATATGAAAAGAAGCTGTTTGCTGTGCGGTTGGAATTTAGGTACTGTTTTTCTTCTGGGTTTATGAAATTGATTAAGTAGATTATCCGTAAATTTAACCCCTCAATACTGCGAAAAAGGTGGATTCACCGAGACTATCAGTCAGTTGAATAAATTTTATATCAACAATCTGATGCGTCCTTCTCAGGAAAACATAAAAATGTCGGTCATTGTTGAAATTAATGCAACGTGGATCTTAGGAATTCCTTCCCTGTTCACCAGTTCTAGTTATGTCTTTTTTTTCACTATGATCGGTGTACATACGTATATTAGATTCATTCCAGATTCAGATTCGAACACCGTTGTCAATTTTTAGCGAACCGTTCAAGGTTCCTAAGGAATTTTTGGATTTTTTACTTCCTTCACCATAGTCGTCAGTTCGGCTTGGATCATTTCACTTTTATCGTGTTAAGGATAAGGATGAAGATCTCGGCGTTGATCAATCCCTAAGGGATGCGCCATGCATTCGACTTCATCAAACATCGTTCGGAGGTGATTGAATGGATATCTGGGCTATACGATGAGTCGCAGTGGTCTACCGATGTATCGAGCCAGTGCTGCTATCCTCCTAGACAAGTCTGGTACCAATTTTTCGACCCTGGAGGGATGGAAGGTTGGTGGACCATGGAGGCGGGAATCGATTCGTGTGTGCCGCACGGCTCCTCCAACCACTGCACCACACGCTCCATTGATCGTGTTACAACAACAAGTATGAAGGCAGCAGCACTTTTTAATGTTATTCCGGAAGTTTTTTTCCACCTGAGGTTCTTTTTTGCTATTTTCGTTTATTAGTTATTGAATGGCGCAGTGTACGATATGCAGTGTGATACACAACTAATGCGAACATTGTCGATGGTTCGAAGTCTACAGAGCATTAAATCATTCCTATCTGGCACCTGAAAGTATTTGTGCAAAGCAAAAGTATACTCTAATTTGTACGTGGAATATGGAATACTAAACGTGGATAGGGATCCTTGTAGTTCATTTCCTGAATCCTACCACAATATATTTGCTATTTTATACACACAAAACATGAACTCTCTGTACAACTATAGCAGGGTTCTCGTCGTGGAAACTCCGCGATCCGGTCTCAAGAATGATCATGCAAGTGCTAGTATATTTTCTTTTTGACCGATATTTTACTCGATGGACAAGATTCTTCTCTTCGAAGTCTCAGGATATGCGGCAGAAGCTTCCTTCTGTCGCCATCACAACCTCTTGCCAGTTATCGTGAATCGGGGAAAGCTATGCGGCCCTATAACTATGGTTTTTCGGATGTGGCGACAATTCTCCAACTTTTGGTGGTGCGTTAAGGCGAAAACGTTCGACTTGCTATCAGTTTGAACGATCTTCGAATGGATGGAGATCAATTTCGTTGCGTGTACTGCACTAAGACAACCAGTGAACACTCTTTCGTTACAGTGAAGTCCTGAATCACTAAAGGAGATGTCGCATGGAACTGTTATTAATTGCTTTTTTGTTAGATCGTCGACCTTGAAGTAAACCAGAAATTCAATTTAGAGAGCTCATTTAGACTGTTCTGTGTTCAGAATTGCAACTTCACTTTTTAAGCTCATATGTTAGGTGATACCTGATGTTGAGTAATGGCGTCTAAAACCTCTAATAAGCAGAAAAAAAGGATCATACGGTAGTGGTCACACCATCTATTACATCTCCATGACCACAAATGTATCGCTATTTCTCTGTTTATTGATCGCTAACTGACTCAGTGAGTTGGTACTGATTGGTACTAATTCACTCTCCACTCGTTCCCATCACGTTCGAGAGTTCGGCATTGATTTCTTTCCGCCCGAAGTGCACGATATATGTCGTAATCTTCGCTGACCTGCTTCATGAAGAACTTTAACCAAAGGATCAATGGGTCTTCTTAACGTACGCTATATATCCTGTGAAAACACTGACAGCTTCTATCGAGCTCGTGGTTGTGAGGAAGTATCTATTGTGTTTATCTACTAAGTTGTCTCTGACTTTTGCTCGTCGTCAAGCAGGTTCCCTCCTTAGCATGGTTGGCAGGCGATAACCGGGCACCTCATTTTGCTTAGTACCGCCCGGGTTTGCGAACTTGTAGTGGATAAAAGTTTTCAAATTCCGAACTAATAAAAGGTAACCCCCCCCCCCTCTATTTATGGCTTTTATTATCATTTTATGTTCAAAACTGTAATGGAGCTGAGGCTCATTTGCACCTTTCGAAATCTTACTGTTGTTCAAGATTTTCAGCTTGGCGACGTTTTCCTTTGTAAGGAAATTGAAACGGGCATAGAGAACGACAGCCTGAGGGAGAGGAAATGAGATATGTGAAGAATAATGCGGCATGACTGATCCTTTTCTTTAGAAGTCTGGATTTATTTCAACTGGCAGAAATAGCTATTAATCGTTGCTCCAGTAAATAGGATGGTTGCAGTGTCATTTCTTATCTGATGGCCATCTAACTGCATGTCGTCAACCAAATGCTTTCGAAAACCTTTGGTTAAAATTGAAAACAAAATCTTGGAGGAAACTGGAAACAGTCTTTTCATATATAATCCTAATGATGCTGAAATAGTGGGTTTTTTGTCGCATTAAGACGATTTTCTGTCTTAATGACAGTACGTCTCTTACAAGTCGGAACTGGTTTGCTGGAACATCTCTTAATAATCAAGGGATGCTGAGATATTTACAAAACTCCGGACCGCTGGTGTTAGCGGTCTTAGAGTCCAAACAGTCCTTTCAAAGTATATTTGGAGATTGCTATATTCACTATATACCTTTACTTACCTTGTTTTTTCATAGGATGGGTTGTTAGACCAATGAGGCAGAATTTGGCAAATTTTTCAACGAGAGTGGAACGATTAACAGCAATCTTTATCGATTACAGTGTATTTGCCATCGTGTACTCGCCCTATGGTCTTTTCATCGATCATTCTGAAAATGTTGGATATTCCCGCGTTTTATTCTTTTACTGTGGAAAAAAAGGCTTGGCGGAAATTAGAGTGGACATTTTTGGATAGTGTTGAATTAAAACATCTAGAGTAAGCTCTTCGCCCAGGAGAGGCGGCAGTGGTAAGAAGTGCTCCTACGATGCACGTTCGATTCCAATTCTAGAGCAAAACAAATCTCCCAACCTTTTTGGGTAGGCTACTGCAAGTCATTATTGTCTTTATTCACTCCTATAATACTAGAAATGAAATGTATCCCTCAGTGGTTCACCAACACACTGAATTCTGTCCTTTTTTCTTTACAGCAAAAGGATAAAGGATAAGTTGAGTGTACATATGGCCAATACAATGACCTGCGGTCGCCTACCGATGCATCAATGAGTGCTGATACATTCCTAGACATGTCTAGTACCAATTTAAGAACTAGGAGAGATGAAGTCCCTAGTGAGCACGAGGGGCGATATCGAAGCATTGACCACGCGCATATTACATGGCACCTCTAATCGCTGCGCTACACGCACCCCATCTTCTATCTTTATTTTTCATAAGAGGTAAAGGATAAAGCTCTCGGCGTTGATCAATCACTGAGTGATGCGCCATGCACTGGGCTTCATCAAACATCGTCTGGTCGTCTGGAGGTGGTTGTATGCATATCTGGCCTTTACAATGACTTGAAGTGGCATACGGATGTATTGAGCCAGTGCTACTATCCTCCCAGACAAGTCTGGTACCAATTTGTCGACCTCTGAATTATGGAAAGCTGGGTGAGCCATGGGCGCAAGGGTCGATTCCATGTGTGTGCTGCAGGGCCTCCGACCACTGCGCCACACGCGCCCTTTCTTCATCTTCTATAGAACTGTTTAATAATATTGAGATGTATCGTCATATTTGGAGTGGGCTATTGATTTCAATCTGGAAACAACTTTGACCTTGACAATGACCTTCGAATTCTAGACGTTAGGCGTCAATAAGTGGAGCCTGTCGACGACCTATTTTTGAACGGATAGTTTCGCTAAATTTGAACGAATGCACGAATCACTGCGTCAGGTGCCGAGAAATCGAACCGTTGGTCATACGAGCGCTAGTGACCCTAGATTCGGCTGCGCTTCATTCGCTCAAAGTCGTTTCACTACAGGAAAAAAAATCGTTTAGACATTATATTTGAAGTGGTATTTCTATGCTTTCTCAGACGTCATTTCGTCTTCTCTCAATCTTCAAACGTTTCCAGTAATTCTACAGGATTCATGTAATGTTGAAACTAGCAGTTGGTCAATTTTCTTGGTTCTATTTTTGCACGACCGACAACACATATTGTGCTGATACCAGCCCTTCTTTCGTCCTGTTTAGTTCCTCGCATCTGTCATTGACGAAGATCTTCCGACTTCGCGTTTTCATTTAGCTGTCGCTTGAGGATTTTGTATCTCATAAGTGTCATAGAATGCTGGACGTGTTGATTCTCTCTGGAGTCGTGGGACTGGCACTGGAATTCATTGAAATGTTTCTAGCTTTTCATCCACAGCCAGTTTCCAACTTTTGTAAAATGCAGGAAGTACTAGCCTGTCCCTACGCGACACTTATACGAATTTTTCAACTCCGGAGAAAGATGAGAAGTTTTTTGGCGCGGGGCGGGGTGGAATCAGAGCCTTGCTCGTATTTAACGTCATCTCTACTACTGCGTTAGCCGCGCTTCCGCTACTTACTATGTTTTTTCAAGAATGCTTCCTGGCTTTAGACTTTTTCCCAATAAATTATATTCTTTAATCTCATCCTTGTTTTTCCTTTTGTTGAAGAGGTGATCTTAGAAGCGGAAGAAAAAACTGGGTTTTTCTTACATTATGTGACGTTCGCCGGTCAAGGGTGATGGTTTCGAACTAATCTCTTCCATCTATCTTCCAGCTAAGATCTTTGACTTGTTCGTTTTATTTCCACTGTTTCGTATTCAGATTTTCGACCATAATTGGCGAACGTTCTAGAGTGTCTTCCGTGAAATTTAGATATATGAAAAAGTAGCCTTTATGTGAAACCGGTATTCTGATAGCTCCAACCACATTTGCTTTTCTCACAGGACTTTTTTCCTATACAGTATCCATAAGAAGAAGTCTCTTTGTAATTTAATTGCATTTAGCCAAACGTACAATGTTACAGAAAACTTTTAGAAGAGAAGAAAAAAACATCTAGTTAAAAGAGTTGTAAGAAAAAGTGTGCCACTATTTTTTCCTCTCTATCACCTCCTCGATTTATATCGTGATATCACTATTGCTTTAAATCGACTTGCAGATGGAATTATTTGCTGGAAAACCGTTGCTCGGTCCCGATGGCTCAGAAGTCGATGCAGAAAAGGCACTTAAAGGAAAGGTAGTTCTTTTGAGTGAATTCGTGCTTTTCAAAGCCCGAATAAAAGGAGCTTCTCCCATGGACAACCAAATCGAAGGTTTCATTCCTTATCACACTTTGTGCCATACTCAGTATTTGTTTTGGCTGAATTCCTAGAATATTTCCATTAGTCATTTTTATGATTGGCTCCAAACGGGTCACTTTCTGATTTACAAAACGCTGTTCGAATTGCGAATCAATAGTTTTTAATCCACTGGTGTTTCTTTAAATGAAAAATTTCGAAAATAAAAAAGATTTCAAGATATGTGTTGAATTGAGTTTCCCTTTTTGCTCTTTACTTTACTTACTCACAATGATCTGTTTGAATTCTTTTACAGATGATAGCGCTCTATTTCTCTGCCATGTGGTGTCCGCATTGCCGTCAATTCACACCGAAACTAACCGTAAGTGGCTTTCAGTGCTTTTTCTCGGCAAGCATTACGGAATCGACTCATTCGGATCAATCGATATCAGATGGATTCCAAATGAATTCGTTGACTAGTCAACTACCAAAAAACTGCCACGACCGACTTTCTATTAACCTCGGCATTGATCAAGTGATTTTCTTCGTATTTTTGTTGAGCAAATCACGATCCTCGCACGCGAATCAAGAACACAGGCGCGAAAAACTCTCGAGGCACTCTGGATTAATTCCAGAAATCCGAAAATGAACCGCAGGGAAGAATGCCTCATCATCACGCGTGATATAGGGTAGTATATAAGACTGCTATTCTGATGGGAGGGGCACATTACGCTTCCATGTGAGTTCTGTGCGGTCGGTCTTCACACGACATACTCCAGTGGAAGACTCATAGAAAGCGGTGAGTGTGCAGGGCTGTGTTCAGGGTGATTGAAGTCTTGGTTTGGAGTTTCTTTGTTTGGTTATGGAGGCGTCTGGCCGATGTGCAGGGCTGTGTTCAGGGTGATTGAAGTCTTGGTTTGGAGTTTCTTTGTTTGGTTATGGAGGCGTCTGGCCGAGTGGATTGCTGTCAACTTGACCTTTCCAGGCTCTGAAGAAGGCGAAATCCGCCGAAACGTCAGCTTAATCGTGAACAAAGAATACCAAAAAACTGTTTTTTAGCGGTTCTATAGCGCACTCAAGGACAGTGGCAAAGACTTCGAGATTGTTCTAGTGTCACGTGATCGTGAAGATGAAGATCTAAAAGTGGGTTTAAGTTGATAATGTTTAATCGTCAAAGGTGACAACATATGCGAACTAACAGGAGCCGGTTTAGGAGTATCTAACCGAACATTGCGGCGGTTGGTTCGGAATTCCATTCGGAGACGAAAGAATCAAGTGAGACTTTTTCTTATGGGATATAAGCCTTTATTTTGCGATCCCTGTCTCGCCAAAACAGATGTTTCCTATTAGTATAAGATGAATCATAAATTTCATCTGTATCTACGTTAGTCATCCAATACCAAACGGTCTTATAAACTCCACTCTTGTCATCGCGTACAAAAGCTATTTACTGGGCTCTCTCCGTCCATTCGAAAGGCGTGAGAGGGTATCATATTTATTCTGTTACGTTCTTTTTTACTGTCATTGTTGAAAAGGTACCCACATGTTTCTCAGGAGACTTCCGCCTCCTTATTTGGGTATCAGAGTTGGGAATATCGGGAATCTTATCAGCTTACATGGACCTGTGGAGATGAACGCAGTCTAAGTATCACAACTCGTCACCTAGGGACAGCTCCACCCAAATAGAACAGCTTACTTCCACATGAGTCACATTTACAATAGCATACACCTGTTCGTTATTAAAGTTGTGACGCTGCTTTCACAGTGTTTTAAGCTCGTGCTATGCATTCTTATCAACATCTCATTACTCTTCACCACTCCGTGATAGTAATGATATAAGTTATATAGGAATGTTAGAATGGAAATGACCGTTTTAACATTGGATCTGTGGCTGCTTAAACAGTTTATTGCATTTTTAGAAAATTCCTGGAAAAGTATGAAGTGCCGACGATACCTGCGCTGAAGGTGCTGAACGCAGATGGTTCGGTTCTCATAGCAGACGCAAGAAATGAGGTTACGGTGAGTAAATGGACTGTTAAGGAAGAAATTGGCCCTAAAAGAGAAAAAATTGAAAGTGCAGTTATTTCTTAGCAATTACAGTATTATATTTTTCCAAAAACTTGTCTATAAAAAAACTTAACTTGCATCAGTTTCTCTGTAGACTGAAATTCCGTGCCATTTTTACTTGTTTCAGTGATGTTTCGGATTGTTTTGCTTTTAATCTAAGAAGAGTCGGGTTCAGTAGCTGCTGTTTTTTTATTTATTTTTTAGTTTCGTAAGAATTTAATGTTTTTTGGTTCTATAACATCGCTATGTTCGGACCCTGAAAGTCTGAACTTTCGAAAAACTCGATAGCTGACACCTCTAACGAATGTTTCTGAGAATTTTCTTTGAATAGCTATTTTTACCTGAGTAAAAACAGAAAACCGGTTTGGTTATTGAGACGTCAGTGTTCTGTCCTTGGTAGAAGTTTTAACTTTCAATTAATCGATATCGAAAAGGACCAACGACATTGGTGCCGAACGGCATCGAGCGAGGGCCATGTATAATGAGCAGAGAGGGCGCCCCATTGAGTTGAGCCATACCGCATTAACTATGAAACAAATATGCCACGCCTACCATGCCACAGTATGCACTGATTTCTTGTGTTTTTCAAAAGAGATATTCTCTGGAAACTTGCTTTCAGGAAAAAGGCGGCGACAATCCTGTTCAGTTGTTCGAAGAGTGGCAGAAGAAACTGTGAAGAAAAACGAAACACTTTTTTCCACATGTTCTGTTAACGTTTATGAATTGATCTCTTAGATGAATCACACATGATTAAAGAACGTTCTTCTTATGTTGTTATCCTTTATCCAAAGGAAAACCTAACAAAAAGGCATCTAGTATGATTTCTTACAGTACACTCGAGAAAGAGATGATAGTGAAATGAAGCAATAGAAAAACTCAGTTCACAAAATAAAGCGACATGGGTTTACAGTTCTCTTAGAACAGCAACATAATACATTGCTCTGTCCATTATTTCCTTTTTCTAAAGGAAGACTTAGAATACTTTCATGAAAATACTAGAAAGGAAGTACTGATCTATCTAAAATTTAAGCATCAATCAAATAAGAAACACCGTTCTAACCAATGTACTTTTGTAAAGTTCCCACAATCCTAGACATTCCGACTGCACAAAAAGGGTGGAACACTGGATCGTAAAAAAGTAGGAATCTTGATGTTACTTCGACCATCTCAAACAGGTAGTTTCCGACTTTTTCCAACTCCTGTTGTGCCTCCCGTGATTCGATCATTCGCTAAGAAAGTCGGCTTCAGCATTTCACCACACCAGTGTAGGGCACTGTGCTTTGCTCTTTCGAATTTAACAGAATATGGAATAACAACTTTACATTTTTGTTCAAAGTATTGTTGAATAGATCTGACCATGTATTATATAACGCTTCTATTATGAGCTTGAAGTGACCCGTGCAGTGACGTTGACCGTGCTTCAATCGCACTCATGTAACACCCAAGTTTTTAGACGAATGATGTCAAGCTAGGAAGGAACCGTGAAGTGCGGTGGGTGCAGAATGCCAGATATTTTTTACTTTATTTACAACCAAAAAATTCGTCCTTCTTCCCAACAACATGTTAGTGTTTCCTATTGATCTCAGTTTACTCAACAGAAGAGCGCGTGTGGCGCAGTGGTTGGAGGCGCCACTGCGACGCACACGTGGAATCGATCCCTACATCCATGGCCCGCCAAGCCTTTCATCCTTCCGGAGTCGGCAAATTGGTACCGGACTTGTCTGGGAGGAGAGCAGCACTGGCTCGATACATCGGCAGCCCACCGCGAGTCATTGTAAAGGCGAAATATGCATTCGATCACACCCAAGCGATGCTTAATGTGGTCGACCAATGCCGAGAGTTCTGTCTTTTATTTTTATTATCCTTGGTATTTACACCTCCTAACAGCAACGGCAAAACCAAGAGCAAAGTTTTCTTAGCAATTCTAAACCTAAACAAGAATGATCCACGTCAATACTTTAATAGCCCTTCTCAGTCAAGAATTACATGGGTCCCACTATGCTCCCCATGGTCAACCAACCCCATCGTTCATCAAATTGGAAAGGTGCAGATCTCTCCCTGATCTACAATGGCGGGCGACTGCTTGTGATGGGTCGACCTGAGAGAGGCTTCGGCTACACTGACCTTAGAACTCCAGGGAAGCACATTGGCTAAGCCAGCAAATCTCCGGCCTCAGTACCCTGTACACTGTGCGCTCCCGGCCACGACGTCGGCCGATTAGACAAAAGTTGAGTGCGACCAAATCTTGGGTTGAATAGAACAGCATTGCTAAACGGATCAAACGAGTGCCCACGACACCCTATGGAGTCTGTCTCTTGCTACCGTTGTAGTGCCAGAGCGGTTTCTTCAGATGCTGATATTTACGCTGACCTTGAGGCCGTCGGTCCCATCAAATTCTGTATGATCGCCCAAGGAGACGAAAACTCGGAATACTCGACACACCTCAGTTAGTTGTCGAAATCTTCATCATTCGTGGAAGGAAATTTCCATTACAAATGCCCAATGCGTTTCACCTCATACGAAATCCTGTCACTGCGCCTAACCATTCTCCGTCTCAAATTGTGCGTCAGAAGAAAGTCACTATCATCAACTTTTACAACTGATGGGAACGAACTGGACGCATCTTACAACCAGTTGGACAAAGGAACTCACAACGAGATGTCCTGCTATAAACACATTGTTGGAGACTTCAACGCCATATTGGGAACGGCCAAGAGAAGCGAATACAAGAAAGACAGGGGAATTCTGAATAGGAGGACGAAATAAAGATGGAAAACGTCTTTTAGAACTTTTATCCGCAGAACGAAGTTTACACGGGAACACATTTTTCGAGAAGAGAGACGATGGCCGATGGACATGGGATTCTCCTAACGACTCACGTTGCGATCGATCAATTTCTCACAAACATAAATGGTGCCTTCGACACCTCAGTGGTACCTGGGGGCTGCAATGGATCCGATCACCAACTTCTTCGTATGAAGATTCGATAAGCTGGGAAAGAACTCTTGTCATCGTTCAAGAAAAACGAAACAAATCGTATATAACGGGGATTTTCTCAATAAAATCCTCTCCTCAATATGACTGCTAGATAAACGAAGAACTGGCGGAGGACTAAAAGTGCTTATCGAAGCACTTAAAACCATTGCCGAACCCTCCTCCTTACAATCTTAACATTTTTATTCACTGCCTATATCTCAGCATTTCAGTACTTATATTTCGCAACATACACTACCATTAAAAAAGTAGGCAGCAAATAAAAAGGTTAAGATTGTGATTATAACTATAGCCTCAGCTTAATTGGGTTCAATGCCGATTTGGGCTCCCCAGATCAGTCCCGTTGACGGGTGATTGCTGGTGGCAAAAGATCGATAGAACTAGCTGAGAGACAGGCGAAACGAAGGGCCGGCATGGTGTGGTGCTGAACGCGTTACTACCGGGAAGGTCAATAGCGCGTTCGTTCCCACCGCATACACCTGCGATCCGGGGTTTTGCAAATATCTTAGCATTTCAGTAGTTATATCTCGCCTCCTCTTTACCTCAAGCAAGAAGTTCGGACTGCATCTCCCTCGCCACTGAGGAGTTCCTTAAAAAGAGTTCACTGAAGATCGTTCCTAATGCAGCACAACTAACACAGCTGGTAGTAAATGCTAGCTGTAGGAGACCATTGTAAAAGGATTTACATCGGCATGAGAAAATAAAGTTATTGGAGGCAGGTCAAAAACGATCCAGTCTGAGGAAGTGCCATCGGGATCTACATGACGATATTATTCCTCTATTAACCCTGATGACCCAAGATTACTACATTCCACCATGGTATGGAATTGATAAGAGAGAGGTTCTATACCAATCTTTTTCGATCCGCAGCCTCGTCTGGAACTATGAAATCCCCAGTGTTGTAACGGCATCCTTCACTCTAAAGTTCGGGTTGCGAAAGAAATTATGAAGAGAGGCACAGCTCCAGGATCCGATAATATCAACAACAATTTCCTTAGAGCTAGTAACCACAATTACATGTACCTCTTGCATTCCACATGGCATCTTAGCCTCCAGAAAGAGAATAACCCATGCCAGTGGAGGACCTCGCACACAGTTGGCAAACCCGTGAGGAGTGATCGAAGGGGTTTTAGTAACCACCATGCGATGTGTTTGTCTGCTGCGCTCCAGAAGCTGTTTACGGAGATTACCCTTTTGCGCATATAGAAGGCCTTCGACGAGGCACAACCGGTTTAGCAAGCAAGATTCCGAAAGGGATTCTGCTGCACAGACCACGTCCAAACCGTGTTGTGGTCATAGAGGCTCGTTCAGGAAAACCATCTACTCCTTGTCGTAACCTTTATTGACTATGAAAGTTATTTGACAGCTTCCAAGATCGACTTTCTATTAACCTCGGCATTGGATTATAAATCTGTTGCAAATCAAATAAATAAATAAAATATATAAAAATATATATTATGTGTATAAATATAGTATATCATATATTAATCTTATAAATTCCATATTAGTGTACCCTTCCAGGTTCTGAAGAAGGCGATACTGCCGAAACGTCAGCTACCGTTATGTTGTATGTGTTATATTTGTGAGGAATTAAACGTGTGCTGAATAACAACCTCGCGATTGCCGTAGAAAAGAGAACAACAGATTTATGCGACAGCGTTGAAACGAATGCAATCCTGTCAGCAGTCATCGACTCTCCTATATAGGGGCACCAACAGCCTTTTATCTGAGCCGTAGCACAAATATATAGCTTTTTCATTGAACCCTCGTCATAACCGTAGGGAAAGAGGTTCGACAAGGCGGCACAATATCGCTAAAGCTGTTTGCTGCCACATTGCAGTGGATAATAATGCCACTCGATTTGTACGAGGTGGGTATAGGTATTGGTGGAAATTCCTATTAAATCTTCGTTTCGAGGATGAGAGGACGTTTCGAGGACATCATCTTTCGGAGCAGTACGAGTTAAGCACACACGATTCTCAATGAACTCATCGATGCGGGAAAAAGATTGAACTGCCTAGAAATGGGACGAAGACCTAGTTTGTGAAGAAGCCATAATTCGAAGGTGAACAAATCGAAATGGATGCTTCCTCGATTACGAAGAGCACCTCGTATGTGTGCCTTGAACGTGCAATGAACATGGACAACAATATGAAGGAGGAATTGGAGAGAAGAAGAGAGCAGCACGGGCCCCATTTGGGCCACTCAAAGAATCCACCGACCAACTAGGCGACCAGAAACCTTCACGGTCACCTTTCTAATTCAGCTGTCGTCCGAGCGCTCTGTTATGCAGTAGAGATGTAAGCTGATGCCTCAACCACGTCAAGGGATCCAAGAGAATATACGTCGATAGAGAGACGCAGATGGGTCGATCACATAATATAATAAGGAGAACAGATCACAGATGGACGAAAAGAATATTGGAGTGGACTGCAAGAGAATGCAAGCGTCCTCTTGGAATACCACTTAAACCATGGGCGGACGCGTTCGTACATAACGTCAGCCATTTACATTTGCAGATGACAACGATTTCAGGATTACGGTATCGAACTTGTGTACGTCACCATGTTTGAAGCATACCACCACCATGGCCGACGAATGTTCGATAGAGAAACGAATAGAAATTGTGCTGGAGCCGGCACAACCAGTGAAGGCAGGTAATCCAAGCAATTAGTACCCCATTAAGTATTTACCACCTCAATGCACTTGTTTGGGTACTAAGCTAATGGCCTTCTACCACTCTGCTCTAGAGAAGTTTAAAAAATGGAAAGGTATCTCATGAAGCGAACTAAACAGTATACTGATAAATGCAGTCTGCTTATAAGTAGGTATACGACATGAAAGTAGGTGTATATCGTTGTTAAAGGCGTCAAGGTAGAAGTTGTTAATGATCTTCGTAACTGTTCCTCTGACGGCATTACCTTTTCAGCTATAATGTCCAATTATGCTCATCTTAGTCTTCGCGTAATACGTGAAATCTTCTGGTCGTTATAGGCTCCCTGTATTGCTTCCGTTTGAACCACAGCTGCTGAGCTGCTGTGGTCTTTAGCTTGGGATTTCCTCTTATTGTATCTCTGCACAGTTTTACAAAAATAGACTTGAGGCGGCATGCAATTGCCTATAGCCGCTTCGACTCTGCATTACCGTATCTCTGGAGAGTGATCTTGTGCTTACTACCTTTATCAATTTCTAGCTAACGTTAGTAATGTTTCGTCTCAAAATTTGCCAAAGAGGTTTCAAAATGCTTCAAAGATGGTACGATTTTGGGGTTTGATTCCTTGAACATGGCTGCTTAGATGAATCTTTCACAATGAAATCGATGCCATGATTTCGACTTTGAACCGTTACCAGAACTTCTTCATCAGTTTAGCGAAAATTCCGATGATATTATTGAAAATCATCATGGTGTTCTTCGGAGCCGAGAACTCGCACATCCAACGTCCTATGTTTCCGACGTTCTAGTAGTGCAACCCTAGTGCAACCTTGGCATCGTGGCATGAATGTTGGTCCTTCATTGAAGCTGTTCATTTTGCCCGTCATATTTTAGAAGGAAATTTTAACTAGGATTATTTGTCGTTTAAAGAAATCAATTTTGTTAACTAATTCATGTTTAGGAAGATGCCGATTTTCCATACTTCTTCAGCGTTTGAAAAACGTTGGATTCGATGAGTTAGTAGTTGGTGTTCTAGCAGTAGTTCTGCATTGTCCTAAGTGGATGTTTTCGATATACGGCGATGGATACTCGTTGCTTCGCTTGCTCTTTCACTTATCAGTCATTTGTGTGCAAGGTTTTATTAACTGAGTCGAAGTGCAAGCATGCAGTTCATATATATGCAAATCGCCATTGATATAGGCATGTACCGAAGTGTCTCTGTACACTCAGAATGTCTAGGTCAATCTAACAGAACAGATCCACAAAAGTCCATCTCTTGATTCAACATCCATGTACACTGTTGATTTTAATCCGAGTTTAACCAGCTGTACTGCTTTGCGTAAACCACTTTCTTCCATGACTACCAGGCTTGAAATCATCCATAAAATGTCTACTTACAGATGATTCTATTGGAGTATTAAAAAGATAATGACGGATTCTGAACGATGACTATAAAATGATATAGTTGAACCGTGGCGCAAGGTTATTAATCAGTGCAAGGGTCGTGAAAATTTGCACATAATCGCCAAGAAGACAAGTCTATTGATTAAACGAAGTTCTAGAGTTCTTGAAGGATCAAATTCTTCGTTCGATTCTTAGTGTGGTCCAGTTTTTTAAGATTTTTCGATCGTATAGTTATCGAACTGCTAGAAAAGTGGGCGATTGGTTACCAAGAGGCCCCACTAGTACGCTCGATGAAGCGAGGTTTCGTAGACCGAATACTTCAAGTCCTGCAGCGTCGACTGTGCCACGCGTGGCCGAACGTAGCGATGCAAAAGGAGTATACTTCGTAGCGTGACCAGTATTGCACATGTCACCCAATTCCTTAAGGATGTTGTCATTTGCATGATAGCGCTTCTCTGTAATAATTGTTTCTCCAAGATTCGAAAAGATATGGTAGGTGATCCCATCTGCAAAATCGAAGTGGGCATCATATCCACTTGGTTGCAGATAGGACATTGAAAAGTATTTGGCAACTTCGTCCGTCCAACTTGTAAACTGAATATCGTCGGTTGGCAAATATGATCCGTAGTTCATTGCATAGTAATTTCTGTCGTGTTAAAGAAGACGAACTCGTGAAAACGACTTCTCGAAATCAATTTTGCTGAGCTTTTTCCGACGATGAACCCACACCGTAGTGTTCGTTAATTCTGCAACATGTAGACAAGCCGTGTATTCACTTTGCACCTGAGTAATCAAAGCGTTTTGGTTGTCTAAACTTTCATGTCTAAAACTAGATGTTTGGCTGTATAAAAAGCCAAGCACAAAAACAAGCTCATTTGTTGAAATGTGGCTTTACTTCATATTCTTGATCGCCTTCAGCGTCGCCGATTACCGTAAGCATTGATGATGCTTATCTGGCTTTAGATTAGGATTGAAGAATTGGAGAATTTTGGCAAACATTTTCAGATGCTGAAAACCCTCCAGGTACGGTTGTAGTTGCTGTCCAGAATGACTCACCACTCTGTCAATCGTGCATTACTATCGCAGGGCTCGTGAAAACATATCTAAGCCAAGTCAAATCTGTAAGCTTTCGTGTGATTCGAGTTTTTCAGCGGAAAAGGGACTCATTCTGTGAATGCCCGAAAAAGTCTCCGCACATTGGTTGCTTTATCACGATCATTTCAAGGACGGAGTGAAAAGACCACATTTTCAGATGGTTGAGATAGTATGCACGGCTTTACATATTCGTGAAACATGTGATGGAATGGCATCAATGTTATTAGGGGCGCTTAAGATCAGTGGTGAACAACACGTGTGCTCTATGATCGGTCTCTGTGGCGGAAATGGAAGTTTACTAGATGTATGTTCTCAAATTCTTGAAGTTGCTCTCATCATGAAACAAATCCACTGCTAGATTGTTATCCAAACATTATATTGGGTCAAGTGGTGGATTAATACAAGTAAATACGGTGGACTATATCGTGGAGTTTCAAATTTTATGGAAAAATTAGTTCTTTCAGGTGTCTTTTATTTTGAAACCACTCACTAGTAAAGTTGAATCTGCTCTTGGCTCTCTCGTCAACATTACAAGTGGTAAGAGATCAAATAACTACTCTTCATCAATGAAATTTGGTGTGAATCAGTAGAGTTGTTCGCTAGGATATGACAAACGCCATCGAATTCTGCTCCTTCACCAGTAGGCATTTGAAATTCCAAGGAGCTTATCATCATGTTCTTAGAGAATGTTCACAAGTCATATGACCTTTATGAACGATAAGAAGATTTGTTGTTCACCACTACTTTTTATCCTTTTAGATGCTCAAGGACTACTGGGTGATTCTATCAACCAGACAACTGGTGGGATTAGGAGTCTCATCGATGGCAGTAAACAAATTGGCGAAAAGTTTAAGAAAACATTTCCATTCTTCGGACGCCGCAAAAGAAGTAGGTTTATTTCATTGTGCAAGTCTTCCATGTGATCTCCCGCAATGTGAAACCGATGCATCGATTGTTAACGCCAGCTGATCAATGCATATGGTTTGTATTCGTGTACGTTTTCGCCCATGATTTACGGTATTTTCGCAGGCTTCTCTACCATGGACGACATCATATACTTTAGGTAACGTTGACGAAGCTAGCGCGAGTTCTGGGCAAGAATCCGATCACATTTTCGAAGAAGAATTGCATTCGGTGAGACTATTGATATTTTCCATGTCACATTCAAAAGAAAAGTTCTCATAAGGACTTGTTTTCTAAATAGAACGGTTCTCACCCATATATTCCTACCCCCCCCCCCCCCCCCCCCCNCCCCCCCCCCCCCCCCCCCCTTTCTCACCCATATATTTTATTAAGCAACGCTGCTGGCATAAAATATTTACTTAGTAACTTCATGGTGGAAAAGTCTGAAAATTTTTGAAACTCCGTTTCAGAATCTTCGAGGTGAACAGCATTGGATGCCGTCTTCTGCACTCAAGGTGGCAAAGAAATTCCTTGAGCAACTCGAAGCTCCGCTACCAGAAAACGCCACAGACGTGAGTAATCGATAAAACAATCGATTGGACTCAAAACAATTGTAGCATTCGACGATGAGTTAGATGCAGAAAATTGCCTTTTTACAGGTTGAGAAAGCACTCTACTATTTGACTAAAGGAATGAAAGAGAAAACTCTCAAAGCAATTAACAAAAAAATAGAAAAGTCATCGGCACAGTAGTGATCAGAAAGAAATACCTGTTGATAAGTCTTACATCGTCTTTAATCCAGTTTCTAACCATTCTGATCCCAAACAATGATAAAGGTTTGAGATTAACGTACGTGCATGAAGATTTATTGGAGTGCAACAAAAACAACTCCTTGGAAGAACTCTGATACTTGGTGAATTCACGGTGCTATAGTTTTCCAAACGGAAGGTGGAAGTCGTACTACGTCAGCAAACTCCTCAATTATTCCGAAGAATAATCGAGTTCTCTTAATATTCAGTTTACTGCATCCCGATCAAAATTGAATCTTTGAAACAGAGATAAGCGTAATGCCGGTGATAGTGACCAATATGCCTACTGACAATGCGGTCAGATCACGACAGCCCTGCAATGGTCTACTTGATCAATCGATATTTTCCTGCCCAACTGGAATATTTGATGTTTAAACCTTGATTTCCTTGAAGAGAAACACTGCCCATAACGATACAATGACACCGGGCGCTTTTGCCAGAATCGGATACGCAATAGTCTGAAATTATGCCGAGTGGCTCGTGTAAAAGAAAACTTTTTGCGCTAAAAAAATCATGATCTGCACTAAAAACTGACACAAAACATTAAAAAGAAAAATCTGAAGATCTTTCCTAGGCGGTGAAAACATGGTGGGCTTTATCCAAAACAGGGAAACTCTGCTGGATCATTTTTCGGAGGTTTCGACTATGGAAAAAACTAAGTTAGTTTATGAGAAATACAACCACAACGATTTTGAAATACGACACTCGAGAAGAGTGAATACGTGTTCGAAACTAGCCTAAGGTTCCGAGTTTTGCAAAGTTAGAAGGATAAAGGACGACAATGATCAATCCATTAGGGATGCGCCATGCATTTGACTTTATTAAGTATCGTCAAAGGTGTCTGAATGGGTATCTTGTCCACACAATGACTCGCGGTGGCCCACCTATGTATCTAACCAGTGCTGCTATCCTCCCAGACAAGTTTACTACGAATTTGCCGACACCGGAGGGATGGAAGCCCTGGTGAGCCATGGACGCGGGGATCAATTTCGTGCGTGCGTCCCAGTGGCGCCTCCAACTACCGCGCCACACGCGCCCAATTTTATTTATATACACACTCTACACCCTTATCGGTTACAAATCCTAGGAGCCAATCAGCGTTTTCGAATCCTCATCACTTCACCTGTACCACCTACCATTCCGTTGATCGCCGACTGACTCGAGTGGGCGAAAGTACTCTTCCTATTCCCCCCTCTCGTGTGCAAAGTCATCCTAACGTTTTCTTCTCGCTTTGTGGATTCGTTTTGTGATAATATCTTCCTTGCAGTGTTTGCGGGAACAACTTGAAAAACTCGGTTATCTTTCTGATATGCCTTTGGCAGGTATCCAGCAGCCAACGGCTCATGTCCATCGTTGTCGTTCACACGCATTATGAGTCAAACCCATTTTGTCTTCGACAGTAAAAATTGCACAACCAAAATATCGTCACAACGATATTAGCATCGACGTCAAAGGAGTGGTTAGGCAAGACGATTCCATCTCGCCAGCATTATTTGCCGTCACTTTAGAGATTCCTTTACCCTTTATTTCATAAGAGGGCAGGAGGACGGGGCTATTGAAGGGATCTGAATAGTCGTTGTGAATGATTTTCTCCAATGCTTTTCCGGATGCTGTAAGTGTTCCTTGTGGGCGTCCGAGTGCAATCCTTTTGGGTTCGCAAATGGCGAAGCTTCCGTGGGGTTTGTGAATGTTTTTTCCAGCCTTTGCAGCTTTGACCATAACTGCTGCTCTTCTGCTCCTTTCTCTTTAAGGTCTTCTTTTATCGTCTATCTGCATTGTTTTGCAAGTTCGGGCGTAAGTTGGTGGTTGCTTGTAGCTTTTGCAGCTCCACGTTGGCGTATCAGGTCGAGTGTTTCTGGTGACAAACGTCTCTTAATGACTTTCGAACGCTCAGCTTTCATAGTGCTAACGTGAAGATGTTGAATGAGCCGTCGCATTCTTTGTCGATGTTGTCGACAATGGCGTCTACCCAACAGCCGACTATTGAATTGAATAGGTTTTCCCAGTTTTCCCAGTTTCCCAGTTTCTCAGTGAATAAGTCCTAGTTTGCGGTGGTTCTTGGACTTCGGTTTTGGAATTTAGTGGCTTTTTCTCCTTTCCGCGAGAAATAGAATCTTGCACGAAGGAGACGATGGTTCGATCCGCGTAGAATTTTGGGACAACAGCGACATCGGTTAGGCAAAACCTTCTATTTACTATGATGTGGTTTATTTCGTTATGGTACTCTCCATTGGGGGACTCCCACGTCCAGCGCTGAGGGTGTGACTTCTGGAATTGCGAGTTACCATGGATGGTCTTGGTCGCCATAATAAACTCAGACAGCCGCAACCGGTTCGTTCCATTCTAATTCGTAGGCACCAATGTGACGTTCTTCAGACGTTTTTCTTGATCCAGTCTTAGCGTTAAACTCTCCAATGATCATCTTGAAGAATATATGGTCTTTTCTGTAGAACTTTTCCAAGTCCATATAGAACGATTCGACAATGGCATCTTCACAACAGCCGATGAGTGAATTGAATACGTCCCAGTTTATGTCGGTTTTGGGACGTGGTTTTTTGAATTTAGCGTCATATTATTCTTTCCGCGAGAAATGAAATCTGCGAGCGACATCTATTAGGGAAAACCTTCTATTTACTTCGGTTTTTCTAGGTCTAATCTTAGTACACGAATCGTCGATTCGGATGAGAACGAAGACGTCGAAACGCTAGCCGAATAAATCCGCAAATCAACTTCGTTTAAGCTCAACAATTCGAAGACATCTAATCTCAGTGTGAAATTCTCTAATGACGACCTCGAAGGATGTATTTTCTTTGCGTAGTACGTTCAAGTCTATATCGAATGCTTGGGATTCGTTTTCGTCATAATCAATATATGCACTAAATATGCATGCAGCATGTGTCGCAGTGGTCGGAGGCGCCCTGCAACACACACGTTGAATCGATCTCCGCACCCATGGCCCACCAAATCTTCCATACCTCCGAGGCCGGCAAATTTGCACCAGACTTGTCTGGGAGGACAGCACCACTGGCTCGATACATTGGTAAGCCACCGCGAGTTATTGTAAAAGCCCAAATATGCGTTCAATCGCCTCCAAACGATGTTTAATCAAGTCGAATACATGGCGCATCCCTCAGGGATTGATCAATGCCGAGAGCCTTATCCTTTTTTATGCATACGGCTATCTGTGTGATGTTAATGGAGTTGAATGCATGGTAAAATCGTAACAGACTGGTCAACACCGAAACGTTTTATCCGTTACCTTTTATCTTCGATATAAGGGATAAAACGATAAAGCACTTGACGTCGATCTAGCCCTGAGGGATACGCCATGCATTCGTCTTCATTAAACTTCGTTTGAGGTGATAGAATACATATCTGGCTTTTACAATGCAACAATGCACCTCGCGGAGGCGTACCGGTGTATCGAGCCATTGCAGCTATCTTCCCAAAGAAGTCTGATACTAATGTGCCGATCCAGGAGGATGGAGAGCTTGCTGGGCCTGTGGAGGGTGATTGATCTCATGTTTATTGCAAGGCTTCTGTCTCTCAGCTAGTGCTACCGTTCTTTTACCATCAGCAATCACCCGTCAACGGTATTGATCTGGGGAGCCCAAATCGGCAACGAACCCAGTTAAGCTGAGGCTACAGTTATAATCACAATTTTAACTTATTATTTACTCTTTTAGCGGCAGGGTATATATTGCTGATGGCAAAAGATCGATAGAACTAGCTGAGAGACAGGCGAAACGAAGGGCGGGCATGGCGTGGTGGTGCATGCGTTGCTCTCCGGAAAGGGCAATAGCGCTTTCGTTCCCCACCGCAGACACCTGCGGTCCGGAGTTTTGCAAATATCTGAGAAGATAATTTCATATTGCGAAGAGTCACAGCTACTGGTCGTTTAACAACTTAATGCTTAGGGTGGAGAGTTAATTGGAAATTTGAATTCTGATATGACTGCTAGATGGTTTTCACCAGGAGGAGCCATAATATAATCGAAATGGTGTACATCACCAACGCTACCGCCTGTTTCGTTCATTGACTAATACGCATAGTTGAATTATGGGAAAAATATGGAAAAATCTGGTGATCCAACCCACCTGGTCGAGATGTTGATTAGCTAGGAAAAAACAGTACGTGGCAACAGCATAGATTATACCGGAAATTAACGATGGCAGAGTGAGCTCAGGATTCATGAATGGGCGATTGAATCTTAACGAAAGTTCTTTAGCACTCTTCTAAAAAGTGTGAGAAGAAATAAAAGTAGAAGACAATCGGAAGAAAAACGCTTTATGGAAACAAACCTTGCAAGCGAATAAATCATAAAGATAACTGTCGATGTTAGCACGGAACCAAGGCAAAATGAGAAGAAGTACGAAGAAATATTGGACGGATTACCGGTCTCGGCGCTATGCATTACGAGATAGTTTATCGGGGAAAGCACATTACCATAAAGGCAACCCACAAATACAGTAAGAAGGATAGCGCTAGAACAACGAAGAGATGAGGTTTGCCATTATTTATTTCTGTTTTTTCATCTTTCTACCACACATTCTCCTATCTAATTTTTTAGTTACCGAAGCATTCGCTTCATCTCTTCTGTTATCTTCCTTCTTATATCATATCACCTTCCTCAAGTTCTCTTTCATCAAACGATGTTTACATCAATTTTATAGCTCACGTAATTCTCTTCGTATTAGAAGCGTGTGTCTCCTTTTCTTTAAAAGATAGTCGACGATGAGTCTGAAAACACCTTAACCTTTTCTGTTTGAAACTTTCACAAATAGGCGACTAGGTGATTTCTGTTTGACTCACACAATGAAATGAGGGCCTGCTTTCAAGTACAAATCAGAATAGCTCGGCTCACAGTGAATTTTATTAGATGGAATAAAAAGTATTAAAATTTAATCAGATAGAATAAAAAGTATTAGAGTCCGCATATCTTTAGCTATATCATTTTGTTTCACCACGATGAAAAGAATAGGTGTGGCGCAGTGGCCGGAGGCGCCCTGCAACACACACGTTGAATCGATCTCCGCACCCATGGCCCACCATACCTTCCATCCATCCGGAGTTGGCAAATTGGTACCAGGCCTGTCAGGGAGGATAGCAGCACTTTATCGATACATCGGTAGGCCACCACGAGTCATTGTAAAGGCCAGGATATTCATTCAATCACCTCCAACGATGCTTAATGAAGTCGAATGCAGGGCACATCCCTCAAGGATTGATCAACGCCGAGAGCTTTATCCTTTATCCTTTCTTACCACGATGAAATTCCGATTTTTCCAGACCCCAACATGTATTTCTTCCATTTTTCCCCTCTGAGGTTCACATTTCGAACATGAAAGAGCAAATGAAAAAACGAAATTCCTAGTACGACATGGTGATGTTCCCCAATGTATCGTTCATATTTGGCGCTACTTCTCTTGCACTAGAAGCTGTAAAATTTTCGAGTTTCACCTCCAATTTTTTTAAGAATAGAAATTGAAATTCTGAAACTTCTTACTTGAGTACTTGGATGGCCCGTCTTCACTGGTTGTGCGGACCCCAGCACAATTTCCATTGTTTCGGTGTTTTGCTGATCTCGCCACTGTGGCTCCTTGGAGCCCCGAGGTCGGCCTGACCAAAGTCTGCCCCTGGTCGTCGCAAGTACATTCAGTCACCATTCTTGTGAATGAGAAGGAGGTTTTTCACCATGCGACTGGCTTGATACCAAAACGGTGGTGGATCGTGGTATTGGTTTATTCTTATCTGCGCTTCCTGGTAGGAACGCCGGACTCCTTCTCAGCTTAGGAGACCCTGCTGGGGGTTGAATCCTCCCTCTGCACATCGCAGGTCGACAACCAGGAACTCCTCCCAGCAACTATGATACGATAAACAGTTTGGAGGATTCCGAAATTAAAAATTTGAAATCTTGAACACCTTGAAATTTTAAAGGAAAATGTACAAAAATAATATATACGACTGGTGCGGAAGAGCAATGTCTCTTCCATGAATCTGAAACGTTCTGAACCCAGAAAATGCTTTATTGATCGGGGAATTATCGCCACCTGCCGGAAAACCACCTTTCTCGAGAAAAGGTTAATGGTAAAGATCGATTAACTTCATATTTTTAGTGATGCTGTTTAAGAATAGAGATACAAAATCAATTCGAACACGAGTTTGTATTTTTAGTAAGAACGACTTGTAAAGGAAATCAAAAATATTAAATGATCTTTAATTGCTTTTTAAACTAAAGTAATTAAGTGATAGTACCTAAAAGTTTAATTCAAATGTTAAAAAAATAAATATTATTTGTTTAAACCAGAAAATCATTCAAAGTGTAAATCTTACCTTTTCTTGCCATGGTACCGGTCGAACCTGAACGGGTCGATGAGTTATCGTTCCGAAAATGAATCCTCTGGAAACAAAAGAGGGTTGCCAATACGAACTTACGTGAATAATGGAGAAATATGCTCAGAACTAGTCGAATTTGATATAATGAAACAAATAAGTTTTAATAGAATTCCCTACAGGATCACAGTAACACTAAAATTCATGATCAGACCCGCAACCCATCAATAGTAGCAATCATTATGGCTATTCGACCATTACTAGACAATGTCGTTATGAAAAAGAAAAAACGTAGTTCTCTCCTTACTGTTCTTTCATACCCACCCAATGCATACAATTATAACACCAATAATGTTCATAACGTTATTATGAGGAAGCTGTTGAGGATTTCCAAGTAGACCGAATCTGGTTACAGCCCAACCAACAACGCATGTGATGGTGTTCCACAACAAAGAACCGACAGCCATTCCGATTCCATCCATGATGTAAACGGTAAGAGCATTGCCTTAAACAACGACCGGATAGCAAAGTAACCTTCGGAGTTGGAATAGGTTAGAACTAAATTCATATTTCATTCCTCACACTTCATACTTGAATACTCCAAAGCACCTCTCCACGAGAAATCATGCAGATCACAACATGATTCTTGTCTTACTAGTAATTTTCATTTCAATTAGCCGATATTTAGTTTATATATATTTGTATGCATACATAATGTTCTTACGAACTGCCCTTATTTAGCTGACGCGAGGTTGGTGTAGATCGATGTTTTTGTTGTAAATCCATTTTTATTGTTGTTGTTCAATGAATGACGTTTCAGCTACTTCGTCATTCTCAGGGCCGTACTGTTGGACCGCCTGTGTGCTGCTCACCAAGGACGCTCATCATCAAGAAGATCTATACCAACCTCGCATCTGCTGAATAAGTGCAGTTCGTAAGAGCATATGTATATATATATATATATATATATATATATATATAATATATATATTTAACCTCTTTATTTACTGCTATTCTTTTTAAAGGCAGGGTATGTTGCGAAATATAACTCCTATAATGTTGAGATATTTGCAAAACTACGGACCGCAGACACCTGGTAAAGTTTATTATGCCGAGGTTGCTAGAAAGGGTTACTTGAATAATACTCTCTCATGAGTAGCCTGCCAAATGGCTCAGTGCTCGCCAATCGTAGTCATGAACAGTTGCTGATCAATGTGGATCGAACAAAGGCTTTCTATCCTGCGTTTCCCATTGTTCCTTCTAGGGCTTCTGAGATTAGTGGTGGTGGCCTGCTTTTCGTCAGCGCTTCCGGATAGAAATGCCCGACTCTCTTACAACCTCGCTGACTTTATTGACTATAGATGAAACCGCTGCTCTTCATATCTCTTCACATCGCGGTCCGACTTTTTTTGTTGGTTAGTGAACTTGGGCTAAATCATAGATCTGATTGAAAACACTGATTGAATAATAAATTGTTTTTGCCAATATTTTGCTATGAAAATTCGTATGCGTGTAGTTTCGGGTGATCACCGTTAATCTTAAAATTTCACCGTAGGAGTTAAAGTCTTACACAGAAAAAATCCGTACCCGAAGCGAAGAAGACACCGGACAGCATAGCAAACGGAAATATTGGCGGCCAACCAGCAGTATTGAGCACAATAACACCGAATAACATCTGACCTATGCACATCATCCATTGAAAGAATAATCCTAAATACAATAGAAATAATGAAGGAAAGAATGGAAAGTCTTCAAACTCAGTAGAGGGCCGTGAATGAACTTTTAGATCAATTTTATTCCAGGTGCGTAAAAAAACTTTGAGCATAAGCAGTTCATGAGATAACCATTCGTGCCTACGTACTATTGGTTGTTTGGTTAGATATTGACTGGTGTTGACTGGTAGTTGGGATTTTTTTCTTAAGTTCTTAAGAGATCCGTGTATACTATGGCGATTTTATGCAGCAAGCACAGAGAATCTAAAGATCTTTCGGAACGGAAACAAGTTCCATGCAACAAAAACATTTCTTCCAAAACTACGATGAAAGTGCATAAATGATTACTCTTATCTGGGATTTTTCCACTAGGTGTTCAACTGCGTACCAGTTTCCGTCTTCCAGGTTGGAAATGAATCTCTGCATAGTGGTTCGCCATCGATAAACGTTGCGAAGTTAGTAACTTTCATTATTGAAATGATTCCTACCGTCTCCAGCTTCAAACCATCGCACCGGAACGTATGTGGACCCATAGGCAATGGTTGACACAATTGCAGAGCCGATGCCAACGACGACGTCTTGTTGCATTTCGATGGAGGTCGTCTGAATGCTCAACTAGGATAAGAGCTTGATCGTTAAGACTACAATGAAAAGATTCGTGGCAACTTGAATAGATTGACTTGATATATCGATTGTATCCCTCTTCGCTTTTACAATGCACTGTGTCAACGACATTGAACACTAAGGTCACTTTTTGGAAAGCGACTCTCATTTCATTGAAAAAGAGAATGATTCTTAGAAAATTTTACATAAAGGACTAGGTTAAAAAACGCGTAAACTCAAGGAGAGATGATCGGTTTCCAAAAGAAGGCTTTCTTTCGCAGTAACCACAAAGAACGTGTTTTTTCTACGTGGCCGCTGTTAACGATTACAGAAAAAACCTCATGAATCTTTTTCCTTTTGCGTGAAATCATTTTCAACGGTATTCAAAAACGTTGGCTCGGTGTTTAGTTACTGAAGTTTGACGATTGGCCTAGTTGTAGCTCATCTATAAGAGAATCTGTTCCTCTACGAACCCCTTCAGGCTAAGCACACTCACACATATAAATAAAGCGGATTTTAGCATGTAATAGTAAAATCAGAAAAATTAGAAAATTAGACTGAAAAAGTACGGCAAATGACAGTGCCTGATCGATGAATGAAGAGAACCTGTCGAATTTTACCATTCGGTTGCAGATTATTCAAATCACCAGCGTGGAAAGTTAGTATAACAACCTGTGGAGTAATGAACATCATCGATGTCCGCTGATTTGCAGTCTACACCAATTATTTCTTACGCCTTACTACTAACATTTTCATTTAACTAGTCATAGATGTATGAGACATATATGAGTCATTCGTCATTGGTCTGTCTGTCTTTATATGCATTTCTATTTGTGTTCATGCATAATATTTAAGTTCTATATCAGCTTTTTTATTGATAGATAAAAACTGCTGGAAAGTTTATTTCGAAAAACGCTAGTGCTTATCATTCCGTGAAAACTAGCACAAAGAATGTACTGCAAATATCAAATGATAAGCCTACATGTTCTTTGCAAACAAAGATAATCATTACATAATCTTTACATCAGTAATAAAGCTTAGCGAATAGCGTTCACAGTCGTTATGGAGTCTCGTAGGATTAAATTAATCCGTATAGGTTTTGATTTTTTTGATCTAATTGTACGTCAACCCTCCGAACAGTTTACCGCCTCATTGTGGCTGGGAGGTGTTCTTGGGTGTCGGACTGCGATGTATAGCGCAGGCATCCATACCACTGGCAAGGTCTCCCAAGATGAGAAGTGGTCCGGCATTTCCATCAGGAAACCCAGATAAGAGTAAACCAATACCAAGATCCACCACCGTCTTGGTATCAAACTAGTCGCATTATGGCAAATCTCCCTCTGATCCGCAAGGGCTGCGCGACTGATTGCGCTGGTGACGACCCGGGGCAGATTTTGGTCAGACTGTACTCAGGTTTCCAGGGACTACATTAGCTTAACCAGCAAATCTTTTGCTGGGGCCCGCACTACCAGTGAGGACGGGCCATTCAAGTATCGAATATCAAGTATCAACTGCACGTCAATTCTTAATATTACGTCGGCAAAGAAAATTCGCACATAGCGTCTTTCAAACAGCATCTGCTTCACTTTTTTTAAAAATACGTCTTTCTTTTACAGCTGCGATGGATACAAGTTGCTTGGACGCTTTTTGATGAAGAAAACCATTCGTAAGCTCCATTTTAGCGTTTTTTCAAGTCCTCTGGCAAAGCGCGATCGTCACCAGAAACCGGTGTCAATCATTTCAATTACTCGATCGTTAACTATTTTGAATGGAACACCTTCATTACGAAAAAGTCGGTAAAACAGGTTATGCAGGCGGAATTACAAATTTCCTCTACTGAGGAAGAGAAGGCAATTTGAAAGGAATCGTTTAGAAAAAACGCGCTTAAGTGCCATACTCTTTCTGGAACAAAACCAGAAATAGATATTTAACACACTTTTGAATTCACGAATTGATTTCAGTGCATATAACACGAAAATGGTGTCAGTTCCAAAATCAAACCAGTGTATCTCAGCTTATCGTCAGCCTAACTATTCCGAACAAAAGTGGGTAGAATTTGAAGATCTTTGCCGCCAATGAACAAGGCTCACTCTGGAGTCCACAGAAAATGCATTTTTCCGCTCTTTTTTTCGCAGATGCTCCTTCTTTTTCTTGAAGTGGAAAGGAAGTGAAAGCGGAGAATTACGACAAGCAGGAAATAATGGCATCCCTCATGCTCATGTTGCTTTTTGGTGTTGCCGTACTTGTGTTAAATGTTCAGAAAGTTTGAATTTCTTGTTCGATTTTTCGGAAAATTTTATTTGTAACCTGTTTATAGTGATATTCTTCTAGTTCCTTCATTAACAAGCTTGGAGGGACTCTACATAAGCTTTTTATTAGGATAACGTTTCTAAGTTTTCGTCTTCTTCATAGCGGATTGTTCCGAATCGATGGTTCACAGTCGTTCGTCTTGGCGATGTGAGTTTCCGTAGTCGTATCAAATGGGGCCTTCTAAAGTTGACCACTGATCGAAGAGGCAGGCTCGGTGAGCGATTCTCTTTCATACAGAACGGTCCTTAGTGACTTTTTTACATGAGGCGTCATCACATCAATTGCGTGGATTCCAGCACTTTTTGTTTTCGATTCTTGTTCTCCTTCGTTCATCGTCCATGATGGCTTTTGAACATTTCACATATTTTCGATCACCGACTCGGTTCATCGGCCCTGATAAAGATGAAAACGTTTTAACTTATTATCGACGTTGTGTGAGCACAACAATTTAAGCACATGTTAATTATTTCCCATATTGTTTCAGCTGGTGCTTGAGGACTTCGTCTCCTTCATGAATGTCGCAGAATGCTGGTCGAGTCGACGCTTCTTGCAATCTTGGAGATGGCCGGACAGAGGCGTTCTCAGGTGGATTGTAGGAGAATTTTGGAAAGGGGCTGAAACAGCTTCGTCCCTTCCTGATCGACGGCGTCACTAATCACTGCGCTATCCCATTCTCGGTTGTCGATGGTACCGAAAAAAAGCAAAGAAGGAAAAAAATGCCTTTTATAAAGAGTATATAAACCCATAAGGTATAGAACTTTTTTTTACAAGTCTGCGAAGTTCTAAGTTTTTCAGCTATTGTTACTAATTAATGATCAAGAAAATATATACCAGTATACCCTTCCAGGCTCTGAAGAAGGCGATAC